CCCCAAAAGGCGGGTCAGGTTGACCCTTCCTTCACATGTCGCACAAAAACAGTGGCGAGGGGAAAAAAAGTTTCCAAAAATATCCTCGCAAACTTCCAACACCATCTTCTCCTCTTCCCCAAATCCAGTCTTTATACACAAAGAGACAAACAAACAAAAAAAAAGTTAAATACGACCCCGGTAAGATAGATAGCGAGGGGGTTCCAATTTTTGTTTCTCGCCCGCCAAATTCCGTCCCATATTCTCCACAAAAGAAGAGCGTGTATAAAACAAGAAGGCAGTAAATAAGTTTGTGTAAGGTAAATAACAAAAAAAGTTGTGACAGGTTTAATAAAAAAAATTGGTTGGTTGGTTTGTAACGTTGCGGTTGTTGATTGAGGTTTGATTGGGGTTGACGAACAAGGACGAGAATCTTTTCGCGCGTGAGGTAGGAATGCCCATCTGTTCCGTCTGTTCTATATAAGAGTTGGTATCCCGGTTCGAAGCCTTTCCGTGATAAAAGATGCTGATAGACAAAAAAAGACTCGATTAAACAACAACAACAACAACAACACGCGCTAAAAACCGCCCGGGGGGTATCGAAGCTGATAGAAAAATTGACAAAGAAAGAAAAAAAAAAAAGATCCGGGATTCTCGCTCTTCAGCTCAACACTCAAACGTCAAAAGATAAGATTCGTCGTCATCGTCGTAGTCGCTTGAGGGAGGGAAGGTGGGTGGATTCGTCTGTTGCTTAGGAACAATAATAATAACAGTAATTTGTATCGGCATCGGAAAAGCAACAACAACAACACACACACCCAGTGGCGGTGCGGTGCGGGGATAGGCTCTTAACATGGCGGTCAGGTCAGGTCGTGAGAAAAAAAAAAAAGGTTGTTCGTTCTCTCTCTCAGTTCCACCCAAGCGAGTTCTCAGCAGCGACAGGAGCAGAGATGAAACGTCCCGAGTTGCCCGCGCCGCTCCGCCCGCTACCGTGGCTATCCCGACCACCCGGCTGCCCCGTCGACCCGGACCCCGAGCCTCCCGCAACCACAGCACCATACCCGGTAAAGTCCCTGCTCAAGAGAGCCCCACCCATGAGCGCAGGGCTGCCGCCGCGGGGCGTCTCCCGCATGTCGGATGGGTTGCTGATGGAGCTGGCGCGGCGGTGAAGCTGCTTCTTGCGCTTGTACCGACGGGCAATGACAAACATGACAACACCGTACGCGGCCGCCACAGCGACGGCACCGCCGGCAATAGCGGCGGTGGTTCCGCGCTGGGATCCCGTCGGGTTGTTGGTGTCGCCGCCCGTGCCGAAGGGGTCGCCGCCGCTGCCGCCGCCGCCTGGGACGCCACCGCCGGGGACTCCACCGATCCCCTCACCCTCGTAGACGGAGCCGTACTCGATGGGGATGGCTGGGTTGATCTGCATGGTGAGGTTGTAGACGAGGATGTCGGGGTTTCTGTACAGCGGGGCGTTGGGGGACTTGATGTCGGCAGACAAGGCATCGATCATGGACCTCGGGTACGTGACAATGGCGCAGGCGGTGATGTAGCCCAGCGAGCTCTGGGTGTCCAAAGGCACCAGTCTCTTAACCTGGACCTTTGACATGTCAAACTGTCCAGCCTCGGCCAGCGCTTTGGGGAGATACTTAAAGATCTGCGCCGCAGCCTTGTTCTCGCTGACCAGGAAGGGGTAGTTGTATCCCTCACGGAAGCCAATCTGGATCAAGTCGGTGTCTTGCGGCACCACATCGTTCCCATTTTCGGGCTGAATAGCCTTGGGGAAGGTGGTGGGGATGCCGCTAGCAGTCGTGGGAATGGCGCCTGATGCAGTCGTCGAGGGGGTCGGGGCTACAATAATGGTAGTGGGAAGCCATGGTGCCGACTGGGTGGTGCTTCCAATGACGCCAATGCTGGTAACACGCTCGCTAGTCGACGGAACCGTGGTAGGGCCGGGTGTTGCAGGTTCGCTAGCAGGCTCGCTGGTAATGGGGATCGAGGTGATGTTGCTGGCGCCCGGGGTGGAGACGATTCCAGTTGGCACAGAGGTGGTATCAATCACAGTTGTTGGCTCGGTGACAGGCTCCGAAGAGCCACCTGTTGGCTCCGTGATCGAGCTTGTGGTGTTGCCGAATCCCGGGGTGCTGATAGAGCCAGGGTCGTCAGTTGGGATAGTCGTGGGCGCAGTAGTGGTATCTGACGGCGGTGGATCAGTGATGGGCGGTTCCGTAGTCGTGCTGTTGTCTGTCACGGGGTCCGGGGTGATAACTGGACCATCGGTGGTGGTGACAGAGGAAGGTCCATCCGTCACCGGATCCGTGACGGAAGTAGTAGGATCATCTGTTACTGGGTCGGTAGGGCCGGGATCGAGACCAGTCGTCGTGGTGGGGGGTTCCGGCAAAGTGCTGTTGGTAGTGATGATCGGTAGGTCGACATCGGTGCTGATCGGAGGCTCAGGTAAGGTGCTGGTCGTGATTGGTGGCTCCGGCAAGGTGCTGTTGGTGGTGATAATTGGAAGCTCGGGGTCGGTGCTGGTAGTAACGGGTGGCTCGGGCTCGGTGGTAGTGATTGGAGGCTCTGGTTCGGTGCTGCTGGTGGTCACTGGAGGCTCAGGCTCGTTGCTGGTGGTGACCGGGGGCTCAGGTTCAGTGCTGGTGGTGACCGGGGGCTCGGGTTCAGTGCTGGTGGTGACTGGAGGCTCGGGTTCAGTGCTGCTGGTTGTCACCGGGCGTTCGGGCTCAGAGCTGGTTGTGACCGGAGGCTCCGGTTCGTCAGTAGACGACGCGGTGGGCTCAGGATCGACGCTGCTGCTGCTGCTGCTGAAGGGAGCGGTCGGCCCGACGCTGGGAGTAGGAGTAGGCGTAGGGGTCTCCTCGGGCTCCTCGCTGGCGGTCTCCGTCTCTTCGGGGTCAGTCTGCGAGCTTGTCGCGGACGCAGTCGGAGTCACTGTAGGTTCCTCCTCAGTCGGCGTAGAGGTGGTGGTCTCCTCATCCACCGGAGTTGACGACGCAACTGTGGCCGAATCCGTCGCAGACTCAGTCACAGATTCCGACAAAGACTCTGACGCGCTAACAGAGGTGGACGCGCTGCTGGTGACAATACCACTGGGCACAATGACGATAGGCTCCTCCTCCTCCTCCTCCTCTTCATCATCAAGGGGATCTGGGGTCGAAGTCGATGTCGGTGTGATGGTGACAGTGGCGACAGGAACCGAAGTAATCACAACCGTTGTCCTCACGCTCTCCGTCAGAGCGGTTGACCCGCTCAACTCGGGGTCAAGCGTGCTAGATGATGTCGAATTCCCAAACTGCCTCTTCACGTGTCGTGGGAAGTAGATCCTGGGCTTTGTCGCGACTTCGGCAGCTGCCGACGAGGCCGCCACCAAGGCCGCCACCAAAACCGATGCTGTCCTCATTCTCCCTCTGTTTTCCAATGCGTGTGTTTCGCGTCTTCGAAGCTGGTTAGATTGAATTGAATCGAATGAGCCTTGAGGCCGACGCCAAAAGTGTGCAAGTGTGAGTTGGTGTATGTGGTTGTGTGTCTGCCAATTCCCAAACAATGCATTGTCAGCGCCACCCCGGGCCCGGTCCCGTACTCGTGTTTTGTGAGGCAACACTCACTTTGTCAGGATGGAATAATGAATGTACTTGACAACAAAAGTATCAACGAGTGTGTGTATATGTCTGTGTGTATGTGTGTGTTCTGAACGTGATGACATTTGGTTAGCAAACCTGGTTTCCCGCTCCCTGATGACTTCAGTTGCATAAACAGATCCCCACGATCGACCCTGCAGACGGTAGAGATTGCTGTTGTCTTTTTTTCCGTGCTCGTGGTCGCAGCACTGGTCGGCCGGCTTCTTGTACGCCCCTAAACCCCTTATGCAGCCCTCACTCGCTCACTCACTCACTCACTCACAATTTGCTGCGACTCGGTCGTCGAGTGCGATAAAAAGAGTGTCTTGACGAGATATCGTCCAATTGGGTGGTTCTTTGAATTTTTGCTGGTTTTTCTTGGTGCTTCACC